TTTTTTTTTTTTTTGTCTTTTTGAGAGTGAGTCTTGCTCTTTAGTTCAGGCTGGCCTTGAACTCACTTTATAGCCCAGGCTAGCCTCAAACTCACAGTGATCCTCCTGCCTCAGCCTCCTGAGTGCTAGGATTACAGGTGTGTGCCACCATGCATGGCTGTCATTTGTCTTAATCGTAAGTAGCTTTGTTTGTTTTAAACATCTTGCTAGTTTAACATCCGGCAGGGATGGGCCACCTGCCTAGGATAGTTCCTGGGAGTCCACCTCCTTTGGGTGTCATTAGCTCCTTCCCTGATCTGGGGTTTCACTTTTAGTGGGAGCCCTTCCTAGGAGGGTGGCTTCCTCCCAGCTGACAGGCAATGCTCTACTGTCCTAGCCTTTGATCCTGTCAGGGTGCAGGTGAGGTTGCCCCTTGGGGTTGTGCCATGCCCATGTGAGCAGCACCTGTGTTCCTGTGGAGGAACTGGGTACAAAGGTCATGTTCTTGGCTTATGGTGGCCACATTGGAGACTGCCACTTCTGCTGGGGCCCAACTGCCTGCCAGTGGGAGACTCAGGTCCTTGGGTCTGCACTGTTTCTGCTCTGGGCGCTTTTGTGCATAGGTCTTCAGTCCTTTGGTGTTAGGGTGAGGTAGCTCCTGCTCTGGTGGGGTCTGCTGCTATTTGTGCAGCAGACGTTCACCTCCACCTGATTGGGCAACAGCCTGCCATAGCCTCCCTGTCTGGAGGGAAAGAAAGACCCAGCTGGTGAGCCCAAAGCCTTTGGGAAGAGGGAGGTCAGGGCCAGAACCAGGTTGCCTGGGTGTCTGCTGGACGGTGCAGAAGGATAGTGGTGACCATGTCCTCTGGTTACTTTAGGCAGGCACTGGTGGACCATTATAGCAAGTTGTCTGCAGAGGCAGCACGTCGGGAGCAGAAGGCCCTGTGGAGAGTCCAAAGGCATCGGCTAGAAAGTGCGAGACTTCGTTTCCTTCTAGAAGATGAGAAGTGCCTTCAGGTACTTCAGGATGTCGGCGTCTGGTTCCCTGCCCCTGCACGGAGACCTAGTTCTCCTGGCTATAGGGGCGCTGTCGCCTTGGGCTGTGCAGGTGCAGGGTGTGGAGCTGGTGCTGAGCCCTGTGTGGTGGCAGAGGGGTGCTGTGTGGAGGCCATGAGTGCTGAGGTCAGTGCTGTAGTCACTCTCTGAAGCTGAAGGTACCATGTCGTCCTGCTGGGTTGTGTTTCAGGGTATGCTGAGAGACATGTCTGAGACTCACCAGCCACAGGAGTCACCGGGCATCCCCCCGCTCGCATACTCCAAGGTGAGGGCCTGGCACAGGACCTGGGTGGGGCTCTTTGCTGAGGCTCTGATCTGGATGCACCTGGCCTGGATGTTCCCATGTTCTTTGGCACTTGGTGGGTGAGGTCATGGTTGCAAGGTCATATGGCCAGAGGGAAGGGGAGACCAGACTGGGTCATGTGTACTTCCATTTTAGGTCCCATCTGGAAGCCTGGAGCACTCAGATGGAGGCCATAGCTATGATCCAGGGCCCCCGGAGCAACCTGGGGATTGCAAGAGCAGGCTGAATGCACCAGCACCACAGGCCCTGCAGTCTCCAGCAGCGGAGATTGGGCCATTCTCTGCTGGCCTCAGCATCATGGACTTCCTGCCTGCAGGCTCAGGGGCTGAGCGGCCTGTGCAGGACCGGCCCCCTCTGCTGGATCAGGCACTGCAGACCATCTGCTCAGACTTGCTCCCCACCCCCATGGTAGAGTCACGCTCAGCAGAGGGTACTGTGCCCACCCAGCCACATGAATATGATTTTAGTACCGTTCTGAGGCCAGCTGCAACAGCTGCACTTTCACCAGGGCCTCTACAGGCTGTCGAGGGCAGTGAGGAACAGCAGCTGTGGGTGGACACGTGTGGGAGGCTGGATGAGTGTGTACCAGACACACATGGGCCTCTGCGTCTGCCTTGCCCGCTCCTGCACAGTGCTGCCCAGGAAGCCAACAGCCAGCTCCCTGAGTGGCCCCTTGTGCCCACGTCAGGAGCTGCTGCTCCGACAGACCGTTATGCTTCTGGAACAGCTGCCTCCTGGCCATGTGGGAATGTCCACAACCATGTGTCAGATGACATAACTCAGGTCAGGGAGAACGTGTCAGATGTGGCCGCCTCCCGGCCACGCTGGAACCTCCATGGCCACGTGTCCGATGCTAGCATCCGGGTTGGAGAGAACGTGTCAGA